GCCGCACTCCATCCATGCTGCTCTCGTCCTGCAGCTGCTCAGTCTCAAAGCGCTGCCCGTCGGTGATCACAATAGACGGCGGCACCACTATCCCCCCTTCACCAACGGGCGGCGCCGTGGAAGATGAAGAGGAGGAGGGAGCAGGGGCAGGAGGGATGGAGGGTGGAAGGGGAGAGGGAATAACAGGAGGAGGAGGAGGAGGAGGGGTAGGGGGGACCACGCGAGGGTACACAGGAGGGGGAGGTGGGGTGGGGACTGAGGTAGGGACATAGGGCATAGCAGGAGGTGCGACCACTTCCTCCTCCTCCACCTCCTCCTCAAGAGTGCCCGGGAAGAGTGAAGGAAGGGGCTCATAGGGCATCGGACGCCCCCCATGCTCCTGCTGATGCCAAGCCTTCCATCCTGCCAAAGACATGGTCTCATAGAAAACTGCTTCCACAGTGGTGATGAGGCGGTTGGACTCCAAGTCCAGCACGTGCCAGCCCTTGCTCGCTGCTGACACCCCCAAGTGCAACCCCCAGCGAGCCTTAGGCGCCAGCTTCCCCCCGCGCTGCGACTGCGGCACCATATACTGCACCATGCAGCCCCAAACACGCACCATACTGACATCGGGTTTGCGTCGGAAGGCGAGCTCGTACGGTGTCACACCAGAGGGCAGCGAGGCGTGCTCCACGCGGTTGCGCACCCAGACGGCCTGCGCCAACGCCAGGTGCCACCAGTGATGCTGCACACCCATGTGCAGCAACATCGTCCGCACAGCCTCCACAATGCTGCGCATCTCCCTCTCCACCATCCCGTTCTGCTCCGGCGTATATGGGCACGTGAGGTCGTGGATGATCCCCTTCTCGTCAAGGAAGAGCGTGAAGTCGTGGCCCAGGAACTCGCCACCCCGATCAGTGCGCAGCACCTTCACCGTGGTCTTGCACTGCCTCTCTGCCATCGGGAGCCACTTCTGGAACGCCGCCAATGCATCGCTCTTCTTGGCCAAGGGGTAGGCCCAGACGAACCGCGTCTTGCGATCTTTCAGCACCAAGAAGTAGTGGCTGCCGTCCTTAGTTGCTTCACGGAAAGGGCCACACAGGTCAGCATGCACCACCCCAAGCAACTCATCCTCCTCCTCTCCCACAGAAGGAAAGGTATGACGAGTGATCTTCCCCCCAACACAGGAGACACAAGGTATGCCTGACTTGCCCCCCTTCTCCAAATCCAAGCCCTTCACTGACCCGTGAGCCGCTGTGCGCTCGATGGCATCAATACCAACGTGTGCCATTCGCGCATGCCACAGGTCCCCCTTAGTCCGTACGCCCGTCGCCAAAGTACGAAGTGCCACCACTTCGCCTTCCTGCTGCTGCGTCGAACACGGCTGGAAGTTCGTGCAGAGAACACGCCCCTTGAACTCCGCACGACCAAGGAGCGATCCATCTGGTGCCCGCAGCAAAGTCACATCCCCGGCATCCAGCAGTTGCACACCACTATCACGCAGCTGCCCAGCAGAGAGAAGACTCGCCTGCACTCCAGGTACATACAGCACGTCCGGCACCAAGACACGCCTGCCCCCCTCTCCAAGAAGAGCGACTGTGCCCCGCCCCTGCACCTCCTGAAGCGCGCCGTTGAAGCCAGTAACCTGTTTAATACTGCCGCCGCTGCTCATCTCCACAAAGGCAGAACGATCTCCCATGAGATGGTGGGAGCATCCGCTATCAAGCAGCACGACGCTCGGGTTCGCCTTCACAGCAGCTGCAACAGCCTGTAAGCCCTCCCCGGCCTCAGGCTCCAGCACAACGAGAGGAGTCTGCTCTACAACGGGCTTCACCATCGCACATGATGACTGCCCGCCCCCTTAGAGCCATCACCCCCCTTGTTGCTGCTACCTCCAGAACCCTCTTCACCAGTGTCTGCCTCCTTATCCGCCCGCTGCTGACAGTACTTAGCAACATGCCCTGTCTGTCCACACACATAGCACTTCCCCTTGAAGCCCCCTTTCCCCCCCTTCGACTGGCCATCCTTACGCCCTTTCCACTTTTCCCCTCCCCCACCATCCCCACCCCCATTCTTAGGCTGCTGCTGCTGTGCCGTAGTGGGAGGGGAAGGGAATGAAGTCTGCTGGAATTGGGGCTTACCCTTCTTGGTAAAGACCTGGTTAGCCTGGGGAAGGAATTGGTCCTTTCGTCCCTCCGCCGCCAGCGTACACTCCTCCTCGATGATGTAGCTAGCGAGGGTGTCCTCGTCCAACTCCTTGCGCACCTGCGGCAGCTTCAGCATCCTGCGTAAGAGGTTGTACTGCTGCGGCAACCCCTTCACAACGTGAGTGATGTACGACGCCTGCGAGTAATCTACGCCGGCCATCCTCAGGTTCACTAGGATCTGCTGCGCACGGTTGCAATAGGACGTCGCGGACTCGTGCTCTCCCATCTCGAGGTTAGTGAGCGCCTGCTCTAACTGACCGATGTACAGATCGTCCTTCGCCATGTACGTGCGCATAATAAACCGCCATGCCTGATAGCCGGCATCTATCTTGAAGCGGCACGCCTTAAGGGCGATCTGTACGGTTGGGGAGCAGCATCGGGAAATGGTGGTGAACGTCAGCAACTGCATCGCACGGAACTGAGAGAGATGTGCAAGTGCACGCGCTGGTGGAATGGGAGTGGTGCCATCTATGAATCGCTTTAGCTGAGCGATCTCAAGCTGCGGCTCGATTGATTCTGTCCACGTCGACAGGTCGTGACGTCCTTCTAACGGCCTAGGGACGACGATTTTGTCTGGAGTGAATTTGAAGAAGCCATAGTTGGGGGCTATTCCCTCGTCCCTCGACATCGATCCAATCGGGGTAACGCCCGGCATTTCCCCACTATCGTACTCCTCCGCACTCCCTCCTCCAGCAACGCTCCGCCGTCCTACATTCGCATGCTCTCGTGACGCTGCCGCACGATGAACACGCTCTTGTACACCGCCGACGCTAGCCGTACTAAACCGAGTTGGTCCTCGCAGGACCCCACGCGACATCAACCTATCAAGCTGCTCGTCATCGCTATTTCCGCCATCGACAGCCATATCCCACGCACTAGTTCCTCCCGCGGCTTGCTCTACACGTGGCGAGGGATGATCGCGACGCTGACGAGAGCGTAATCCCTCCAACATGAGCTCGTAATCTAAATTACTAAGCTCACCACGAGAACGACGCGCTGCGAGATCCTCCTCTAGTGCGCGAAAATCAACGGCCTCAACGTCCGCCTCCTCCGTACTCATCCTTTACGACGTCTCGATAAGGTACCACAAATTAAAATAAATTGCCCCTTCCTTAAATCCCTCGTCTCGGGGTCACCTCACAAGGGTCCTCAGACGAGTGGTAATAAATTACCAAACGCCCTATCCTTGGGTCCGAGAACGTAACTGGAGGGAAATCAAGAGAGGTTCAACTTAAATTAATAAGCGCCCTTCACTAACGCCGCACGCCAAGGCGAGTATACGAACGCAAATATCAATGACGACGGAAATCTATGCGTGTTCGGTCCACGCTCACCGCACCATGAAGGAATATATTATAGAGCGTAGCGATAACGAGAGAGTTTCTGCTAGGGAAATGTTGCGTCAGCAACTTGGTAGAGTTTCGGTAGCGTTCGCGTCTAAGGACTTAGTGAGAATTGAAGTAGCGTTTGGACTTCACTAGGAAAATAGAATATATTGAACACACAAGCAAACACACAAGCAAATATAGGCTACGGGAGAGTTTGGAGAGTTGCACAAAGTTGCCGTGGTGCTGCGCAGTAACCCAACCCACACGAAAGTGTCGCGAGGGTGGGTGAACCGCGCCTCGGCCAATTCCAACCTGACTCAGCAGCGGAATGGTTCGCCAAACACGTCGCACCACCAAACACCAACCCCAACTCGGCTACACCATACAAGACACCCACAAACTTGCTAGGAGGTGGCGTGCCTTGCAAGGAAGGCTCGCAAGACTCCCATAGACTAGCACAAGCTCCATCGCAGCTGCTGCTAGTCAATGCGTGACCACCGTCTTTCCCGAGTTGGTGTTGTCAACGCTAGTAGTCGCCCACCGCATACGACTGAGTCAACAGCTTCGTGAGGGCCCTTGCTGTCGTAGGGCCCTCCAACACTTTTGAGTCGACTCAGAGGTACAGTCGCCGAAGGCGCTTCGCGTGAGCCCGGTGTTGACTAGTTTTGAGTCCTGCTGTTGAGACGTCTTGAAGCCGAGCGCTGCGTTTGTAGTCCGGACTCACGACCCCACTCAACTGTAGTCCCGACGCGACCTCGCTCACTCGTAGTCTTACGCCTTCGTCTCACCCGGAGACCTCACGCGACTCCATTCACTCGTAGTACTCTCGACACGCGTCGCCTCACTCGTTTCCTGAGAAGCTTCGGAGCTTACACAAGATGGCGCCGCAGCTCGTTCTCATGGTACGAGCCATCTCGCTCGCTTTGTGTACGAACGGTGCATTAAACAAGGCTGTTTATGAGAAGTTTGAAAAGCAACCTTGATTCAGCTGAACGCCGCGGTCGAATCCCTCACTCAGACTGGCCGGGACGGCCGAATCTATTCAGAGACGTCTTCTAGTCCTTGGATCTCCCCTCCTTCGCCAACGTCTTGAGCACCTTAAGCCGACCTGCGACCCCTGTCCTCTCGTTCACTCATCCAATCATTCCATTGATTCCCTCACCACCTCACGCCCTCACTCCCTTGACACCTCCCCTCTTCCCCTCATCTCCTCGACCTCTCTTCCACTCAACCCCTCACGCCTGCAACCGCTTATCACCTCACCCCTGCAACCGCTTATCACCTCACCCCTGCAACCGCTTATCACCTCAACCCTGCAACCGCTCATCGCCTCACCCCTGCAACGGCTCATCGCCTCATCCCGCACCCAAAACACTCTCACCACCACTGCCTTCCCATCCCTCTCACCTTATCCGCCTGAATCCGTCCAATCCCCGCCTGCCAGGTGGCAGAGAAGCCCAGCATCGCGCTCACCATCGCTCAAGTCATGTCGCACGGGCAGGTGAGGAGGAGCACAAACGTGCCCCATCCTATTGAGCAGTGTTATGATTCGACTTAAAGGACGATGCTTGCATGTCGCATTCACTTGTCTCCACATGTGAAATGAACCAGAGTCGCTGGCTGCCTGATTAAAAGTGTTTCTTGTCCGCTCACGCCTCTCCTCTTGTCCCCTCCCCTCTTGTCCCCTCCCCCTCCCCCTTCCCGCTGGGCGTGCACGTCGCTGGGCGTGCACGTCCCTGGTCTAATGCCATGCCTCGCCCTTACGGTCCCCCGTTTTCCCCTCGCTCGTCTCCCCTCCCCCCCCCTCCACTCCACTTCCTCAGATGGCCTCTCGTGGGCGCTCCTGGCTGGGCGTGCACGAGTTCAATGCTGATGTCAGAGGAGAGCCTGCTCACTGCGCGGACTGGGGCACACCGCACCGCACCGCACATGCCCGAGCTCCATTCATCACACTCCCTCTGCCTCCCCCTTCTCCTCCCCTCCCTTCATCCTCCTCTCTCCCAGATGGCTTCCCGTCGCTCCTGGCTGGGCGTGCACGAGTTCAACGGTGCCTTTCGAGGATGTGCTGTGCTGTGCTGTGCTGTGCTGTGCTGCACAAGAGCACAATGCACATGCCCGAACTGTACTCACAGGGGCATTGTGCTCTTGTGTTCTTTCTCTGCACTCCCCTCCTCATCTCCCAGATGGCCTCTCGTCGTTCAATGGTGATTTCAGAGGAGCCCCAGCCCCCTGTGCTGGGCTGCCAGCACGATGCACATGTCCGAGTTGACTTTTGAGAACTCTCAAAGGCGACAATGCACATGTCCGAGCTGCATTTACATGGGCATTGTGTTCCTTCCTGCACTCCCCTCACCCTCCTCTCCCCCAGATGGCCTCTCGTCGCTCCTGGCTGGACGTGCACGAGTTCAACGGTGACTTCCGAGGAGGCCCGGCTCGCTTTAGAGTCACATCTGTCATTGGCCATGTGCTCAGGTGGGCTCGACATTGTCACACACGCACGCAACACAGATGCACTCAGACAGGGGTAGCGTGGTATAAGCACGCATCATCTCGCTTCAGAGTCACGTCTGTCATTGACCACATGCTCAGGTGGGTTTGATATAGTCTTCTCTCCTCACACCACACACGCACACAGGTTTTCCTTCAATATACGCACGCAAGCGGCCTTCAGATCATTCTACAGCTAGTTTCCATTCCACTAGCCATGTGCTCCCCTTCTCCAACCCGTTTCCCCTGCGTTGGCCTCTCTCTCCCAGCATTGACCTCCTCCCAGCATTGACCTCCTCCCAGCATTGACCTCCTCCCAGCATTGACCTCCTCCCAGCATTGACCTCCTCCCAGCATTGACCTCCTCCCAGCATTGACCTTCTCCCAGCATTGACCTCCTCCCAGCATTGACCTCCTCCCAGCATTGACCTCCTCCCAGCATTGACCTCCTCCCAGCATTGACCTCCTCCCAGCATTGACCTCCTCCCAGCATTGACCTCCTCCCAGCATTGACCTCCTCCCAGCATTGACCTCCTCCCAGCATTGACCTCCTCCCAGCATTGACCTCCTCCCAGCGTTGACCTCCTCCCAGCGTTGACCTCCTCCCAGCATTGACCTCCTCCCAGCATTGACCTCCTCCCAGCATTGACCTCCTCCCAGCATTGACCTCCTCCCAGCATTGACCTCCTCCCAGCGTTGACCTCCTCCCAGCGTTGACCTCCTCCCAGCGTTGACCTCCTCCCAGCATTGACCTCCTCCCAGCATTGACCTCCTCCCAGCATTGACCTCCTCCCAGCATTGACCTCCTCCCAGCATTGACCTCCTCCCAGCATTGACCTCCTCCCAGCATTGACCTCCTCCCAGCATTGACCTCCTCCCAGCTTTGACCTCCTCCCAGCATTGACCTCCTCCCAGCATTGACCTCCTCCCAGCATTGACCTCCTCCCAGCGTTGACTTCCCCCCCAGTTACCACAGTTGGGACGTCCCTGACGTAGGCTTGCCCTGCCGTGTGCACCTAAGCATCGCGTCCTCTCCTTCTCCCTTACGCCACTTTCCCCCCCACCCCTCCCCCCCTGTCAGCATCGACTTCCCCCAGCTACCAGATCTGGGATGCCACAGACTGAATTTTCCCCTCGCTGCACGCATCCCCCTCGCCCACCCTACTTTCACTCCTCCCCCCGACCTTTCTTCTTCCCCCCTCCCTAGCATAGACTTCCCTCCCAGCTATCAGAGCTGGGATGCCACAGACCCGGCATCACTCTTCACTGCCCCCACCTTCAAGACCGAATCACAGAGTCCAACCCCAAGGTGCTGTCGTGCCACTTCTCCCATCCTTTCCCTTCCCCTGGCCCCTCATTCCCCCACCCCCTCCCTCCCCCGACCCCTCTCCCCCCCCCAGCATTGACTTCCCTCCCAGCTACCAGAGCTGGGATGCCACAGACCCAGCATCACTTTTCACTGCCCCCACCGTTAAGACGGAGTCCAACCCCAAGGTGCGTCGCATTTGGTTTTGAGGCGCCTCAAAACTAGACCCAGCATCACTCCTTCACTGCCCCCACCGTCAAGACGGAGTCCAACGTGCGTCTCATTTTGAATCCAGGCGCTCTCTTAGGAGATGCAGTAAATCCAACCCCAAGTGCAGCATTTGAAGTGCTGAGCATAAGCCCTTTCGTAGGTAGTGGCAAGCATGAGTCCAATCCTACGGCGCGGCAGAGGCGCAGCAGAGGTGCGGCAGAGGTGCAGCAGTTATTCTTCAGCCTCTTTTGAGTTTTTTCAGAAGCCCACTCTTCACTGCCCCCACCACAAGACAGAGTCTAACCTCAAGGTGAGGCCACTGTAGCGCTCGAGCCTAAGCCTACCCGATGTGCGGCACAGCCAAGCCTAAGCCAAGCCTAACTAGCAATACAGACTTGCGAGTGTTCAGTTCTTCTACCAACTCCTGCACACGACAATAAAGAAAGAAATTTAACGTGGAGGACATGCGCATCTTATGTAAGTAATTTCTTACTGCGATTCCGTCTTCGGCAATTTGTCATGCTTGCAGTTCTTTTCCAAGCTCTATCTGCACCTGCAATGTACGTAATACTTAGTTGTAACGATGCTGAACTATTTTCACAATGCTTCTCAAATTTCAATGCATACCAGCAGTGAGTTTCAATTTATAAGACTCGCCAACAGCAGTTAGGTATGTCTTCAGGTCATTCATCAAGGTTAAATATATCTATACACCTGCAAAAGAGAATCATATTTATTGTAATCAGGTGAATGACCTAAAGACATACCTAACTGCTGCTGGCGAGTCTCATAAACTGAAACTCACTGCTGGTATGCATTGAAATTTGAGAAGTACTGTGAAACTAATTCTATCATTGTTACAACTAAGTATAACGTACATTGTAGGTGGAGATGGAATTCTTGAGAAAGAAGTGCAAGCAAGACAAACTGCCGAAGGCAGAATCGCAGTAAGAAGTTGCTTACATATGATGCGCATGTCCTCCACGTTAATTTTCTTTCTTTGTTGTCTTATGCAGGAGTTGGTAGAAGAAATAAAGAACCAAGAATTTTAGTTTGTTTTGTGAAGCGCCTCGAATATAGACTTTTCTTGCCCACTCAACACCCAAAATGAATCCCAAGGTGCGGTAACTGTAGCTCCAATACCGATCTCAAATTGAAGTTGCATTGTGGCCAACCTAGATCCAAGGTACATCGAGTCTATGGTTTAGTTCATGTGCTGTATGCATGTCTTCTCACTTGCACTCGTCCCCACTGAGTGCAACCGTTGTGCCTTCTATCAAGCCAGTCCTTTTGTCTATCTATGCATCTATACCCATCCGTCATGAGATTGTGGAGACGAGTTGACTTATGAGTTGAATCAAGAGTCAGCGTTTTTATTCACACCCATCCGTCGTGATCTTTTGGTGATGACTCAAAATCTGTACTTCCGTTTGGATGTGCCTCTTTATGCAAAATCCTCCTGCTCTTGCTCTCTGCTGTGCGTTTCTTCCTGGCATGCTGTGCGAGGTTGATGTGCAACGCGGTGCAGGCGCATGTGTGCAAGCACCTACAAACGGAGGCCAAGGGGTGTGATGCACTCGTGCTGTGGCTCGACTGCGATAGGGAGGGCGAGAACATCTGCTTCGAAGGTGGGAGATCTATGCATGCCTGCTTCAATGTGAGATGTGCTTTCGTATGTATTAAGTGGTCTACTCGTGTCTCGTCTTACACCCTCATGCCTCATGCTGTGGCTGGACTGCGATAGAGAGGGCGAGAACATCTGCTTTGAATATGGATGGGTGAGGTTCTGAAGACATCTGCTTCTGAAAGCATCGTATCTTGCCCCAAGTCACGTGCCCTCTCGCTGTCATCCCTCTTGCACACATCTCCCTTGCGGTGGTGGTAAAGTCTCATTTCTTTCACTCCCGTCTCTTCCCTGGCCCTCTTCTTGCAATCCCAATCCACTGCAGTGATGCTTCTTCTCTTCTCATCTCGTCTCGTCTCCTCTCCTCTCCTCTCCTCTCCTCTCCTCTCCTCTCCTCTCCTCACCTCTCCTCTCGTCTCGTCTCGTCTCGTCTCGTCTCCTCTCCTCTCGTCTTGTCTCTTCTCTTCTCGTCTCCTCTCGTCTCCTTTCGTCACGTCTCGTCTCATCTCCGCTTCGCCCCAACCCGGGATTTTTAATCACGATTCCCCACAACCAGTGATGGCACGCGCACAGCCCATCATGCAATCCCCACAGAACGTATACCAAGCCAATTTCAGCGATATAGGAGAGGAGAAGGACATTCGGCAGGCGATGGTTTGACTGGGGGTTCCTATTGAAGCGGAGGTCAAGGCGGTGGATGCGATGCAGGAAATGGGACCAGGTGTTTTCCACACCTTCCTCCCTGTTTTCATCTCACCCCTACTTCTCCTCAACCTGGGGGTTTTTCAAATCTCCCCTTCCACCAGTGATGGCACTCTCTCAGCCCAGTACAAGGTCCCCTCAAAACGTCTGTAGAGCCAAGTTTTCAGCGATAGGAGAGAAGGACATTCGGCAGGCGATGGCTCGGCTGGGGGGGCGCCCAACGAGGCGGAAGCAAAGAAAGTGGATGCAAGGAAGGAGACCGAATGGGACCATGGCTCTTACTTTCTCTTACTTTCTCTCCTCCTCTCATCCTTACGTCGACCCAACCCACTGCCTCCAATCCCTATCCTATCCTATTCTATCCTATCCTATCCTATCCTATCCTATCCTATCCTATCCTATCCTATCCTGTCCTATCCTATCCTATCCTATCCTATCCTATCCTATCCTATCCTATCCTATCCTATCCTATCCTATCCTATCCTATCCTATCCTATCCTATCCTATCCTATCCTATCCTATCCTATCCTATCCTATCCTATCCTATCCTATCCTGTCCTACCCTACCCTACCCTACCCTACCCTACCCTACCCTACCCTACCCTACCCTACCCTACCCTACCCTACCCTACCCTACCCTATCCTATCCTATCCTATCCTACCCTCCTTTGTGTGCCTGCAGTGATGGCTCACACACAGCCCAGCATGCGATTGCCGCAGAACCACTTCCGAGCTAAATTTTCAGCGATAGGAGAGAAGGACATTCGGCAGGCGATGGCTCGACTGGGGGGGCACCCAAGGCAGGAGTGGTACGAGTGGAGACTGACCTGAAACCAAATTGTCAGTTTCCTCTGCAAACCCCCTTGTTTCCTCCTCCCACTCCTGGCCCAAATCTCCTGTCGGATCCCAACCACCACCAGAGATGGCGCACCCACTGGATGCACGGCAGGAGCTCGGCCTTTTAAACAGGGTTGCTGATTGCTCTTCTAACCCCCTCCTCTCCTCTCACTTCCTCCTCAATCTCCCCTCCCCCCCCCACCCCTCCAGTGATGGCGCACACACAGCCCAGCATGAGGTCACCTCAGAACGTCTTCCGAGCAAAATTCTCAGCGATAGGCGAGAAGGACATTCGGCAGGCGATGGCTCGACTGGGGGCGCCCAACGAGGCAGAAGCCAAGGCGGTGGATGCGAGGCAGGAGATCGACTTGAAAGTGGGGGTGGCGTTCACACGGTTCCAAACACGCTTCTTCCAAGGGAAATACGGCAACCTCGACTCGTCGCTCATCTCGTGAGTGGCTCCATATGAGGACCCTGAGTCGTTCTGTCTCCTCAAATGAGTTCCTTATGTGTTCAGTGCATGCATCGTCTTACTGTTCTGGTTCCCTCTGTTGTATTCCCCCCTCCATCCCCGTGGCAGATGCCCACGCTGGGCTGCTGGTGATCAACGAGTCATGGTTGAGGATTGCTAGTTTTGAGGCGCCTCAAAACTAGTTTTCCCCTGTCGTTTATATTCCACCACCCCGCCCTCCTACCGCACGCACGCACACTGTATAAACCCCGTGCAGGTACGGCCCGTGTCAGACGCCCACGCTCGGCTTCTGTGTGGCCCGCCATTAGCGCATCACATCATTATCATGCCTCCCTGCCCTCCTTGCCATGCCGTGCACACATTGCATAATCCCCCATGAATACCATGAATATAGGTACGGCCCTTGCCAGACGCCCACGCTCGGCTTCTGTGTGGCCCGCCATCAGCGCATCACGTCGTTTGTCTCGGAGCCCTTCTGGGCGGTGCGTCCAATCGTGGTGCGCGATGGCCGCCAGCTGGCGCTGCAGTGGGCTCGTGGGCGGCTGTTCGACAAGGAGGTGAGGTGTGGGAGAGAGGCGGGTGCAAGGACCGTTCGGGAGAGAGGAAGTGAGGTGTGCTATATTGACGGCCGCCAGCTGTCGCTGCAGTGGGCGCGGGGGCGGCTGTTTGACAAGGAGGTGAGAGGAGACTTTGGGGGAACAAACGGGCAGCTGAGGGTGAGGTGTCAACTGAATGAAACAGAGTGACTCTTGAATCGACTCAAAAGCCACCTCGAACGGGAAATAGAGGGTTAGCTGTCAACTGAATGAAACAGGGATGGCTGCCAGTTGGCGCTGCAGTGGGGGCAAGGGAGGCTGCTTGACAAGAAGGTGAGGTGCGGAGGGGAGGGAATGGGGGGTGTAGGGAGGGGAGAGAGGATGTGAGGTTGCAGAGTTCGGAGTTCTTTCAGAGTTCTTTCGGAGTTCTTTCGGAGTTCTTTCGGAGTTCTTTCGGAGTTCTTTCGGAGCTCTTTCGGGGCTCTTTCGGGGTTCTTTCGGGGTCCTTTCGGGGTTCTTTCGGGGTTCTTTCCGGGTTCTTTCGGGGTTCTTTCCGAGTTCTTTCCGAGTTCTTTCCGAGTGCTTTCCGAGTTCTTTCCGAGTTCTTTCCGAGTGCTTTCCGAGTTCTTTCCGAGTTCTTTCCTAGTTCTTTCCGAGTTCTTTCCGAGTTCTTTCCGGGTTCTTTCCGAGTTCTTTCAGAGTTCTTTCCAACTTCTTTCCAAGTTCTTTCGGAGTTCTTTCGGAGGTTGTCCCACCCTCTCTGCCCCGCTTTCCCCTCTTGCCTTGCTGCCAGGTTGCGGAGTTCTTTCAGAGGGATGTGGCAGCCGGGGGTGCTGCGGTTGTGAGGAGCGCTGAAGTGAAGTGGAGGAGGAGAGGAGGGGAGGGGGCGGCCCATAGGGCTGAACACTCATTATTCCCCTAACCTGCTCTCCTCCCCATCACACTTGCTGCCAGGTTGCGGAGTTCTTTCAGAGGGATGTGGCTGGGGAAGGTGCTGCAGTTGTGAGAAGCGTGGCAATGAAGGAGGAGAGGAGGGGGCGGCCCACAGGGATGAACACTCACCCTTCCAGTCTCCCCTCTCCCCTCCCTTCTTTCCTTTGCTGCCAGGTTGCGGAGTTCTTTCAGAGGGAGGTGTCTGGCAGCACGCGACACTGCCACTGTGCCAAGCATGGTGGGGGAAGGAAGAGAGGAAGGGCCGACCCGCAGGGCTGAAGACAGTGGAGATGCTGAAGGCTGCGTCATTCTCCCTTCCACTCCACAACACACACCCCCTTGCTGCCAGGTTGAAGAGTTCTTCCAACGAGACACGGCAGCAGGGGGTGCTGCCACTGTGACAAGCCTTGTAATAAGGAAGGGGCGTCCCACTGGGCTGAACACTCACCATTCCCCTTACCCCCTCTCCTCCCCATCCCATTTGCTGGCAGGTTGCGGAGTTCTTTCAGAGGGATATGGCAGCAGGGGGTGCAGCGATTGTGAAAAGTCTTGCAATGAAGGAGGAGAGGAAGGGGCGGCCCACAGGGCTGAACTCTCACCATTCCCCTTACCCCCTCCTCTCCTCCCCATCCCACTCAATGGCAGGTTGCAGAGTTCTTTCAAAGGGATGTAGCGGCAGGCGGTGCTGCGGTTGTGAAGAGTGTTGCAATGAAGGAGGAGAGGAAGGGGCGACCTACAGGGCTGAACACGGTGGAGATGCTGAAAGCTGCTTCCAGTGGGCTGGGCATGGGGCCGCACCACGCCATGCAGATCGCTGAGAGACTTTACACTCAGGGTTACATTAGGTGAGAAGGGGAGGGAGTGTGAAAAGGAGCGGAACAAGGCAATGCGTCAGCTGGTGGTGCGTGCGAAGTAGCGTAAGGAAGCAGTGCGTCAGTTGGTGGTGCACGCGGGGCAGCGGAAAGAGGTAGTGCGTGAGCTGGTGGTGCATGCGGAGCAGCGGAAAGAGGCAGTGCGTCAGCTGGTGGTGCTTGCGGAGCAACGGGAGGAGGCAGTGCGTCATCTGGTGGTGTACGCAGAGCAGTGGAAAGAAGCAGTGCGTCAACTGGTGGTGCATGCGGAGCAACGGAAAGAGGCAGTGCGTCAGCTGGTGGTGCATGCGGAGCAGTGGAAAGAGGCAGTGCGTCAGCTGGTGTTGGATGCGGAGCAATGGGAGGAAGCAGTGCGTCAGCTGCTCCACATCCACCACCTGCTGACGCACTGCCTCTTTCCGCTGCTCCGCATGCACCACCAGCTGACGCACTGCCTCTTTCCGTTGCTCCACATCCACCACCAGCTGACGCACTGCCTCTTTCCGCTGCTCCGCATGCACCACCAGCTGACACTCTGCCTCTTTCCGTTGCTCCGCATGCACCACCAGTTGACGCACTGCTTCTTTCCACTGCTCCGCATACACCACCAGCTGACGCACTGCCTCTTTCCGCTGCTCTGCATCCACCACTAGCTGACGCACTGCTTTCTTTCACTGCTTCGCACGCACCTTCAGCTGACTTGCCTCGTTCCGCGCTTCCGCATGCACCAGCTCCTCTGACACTCTTCTATATCATCTTCCTTCTTTTCTAACAATCCTCCACCTTCCCTCCCCCTCTGCCATTTTCAGCTATCCTCGCACCAAGTCGACAGCCTACCGTGCCTCTTTTGACTATCAATACGCTCTTTTGCAGAGGACGTCCTTGGGATCGCAGGTGTTCTTTGAGAATTCTTTAAAGACATCCTTTAAAGACATACTTCTGAGGCGCCTTATAAATAGCGTCCTTGCACTCCAACTTCACCTTCTCTTTCCTCTTCGCCATTGTCCCCTTTCCCCCCTCCCCGCTACGTTCCCATACCCTCGCACTGAATCCACTCCCTACGCCTCCTCCTTTAACTATAAAGATGACTTTTCAATATCATCACGCCATCCCATATTAGGGGGTTTACGTGCACTCTCATACCAACTAACCCCTTTGCCCCTCATCCTCTGTCCTCTTTCTCTTCCCAAATACCCACCTGTTTCTCTCCCCTCCCCTTTCCAGTTACCCTCGCACGGAGTCAACAGCCTATCCCTCCTCCTTTGACTACAAAGAAGCCCTTTCAATACAGTCACGTCACCCCATATGGGGGGAGTATGTCCAATCTCTCCTCCAGCTCGGGCCCTCGCCGCCCAGGGCGGGAAAAGACGAGGGAGACCACCCGCCCATCACGCCCATGCGCGCTGCAGATGAGGGGGAGCTGGGCGGCGGGGATGCATGGCGGCTGTATGACCTTGTAACGAGACACTTTATAGGGAGCTTCAGCCCTGACTGCAGGATTGCAAGGTGGGTATGGGGTGTCAAGTTAGGTGAGCGTGGGGGACACATGGCGACTGTATGACCTTGTAAAGAGACACTTCATAGGGAGCTTCAGCCCTGACTGCCGGATTGCAAGGTGAGCGTTGGGTGTCAAGAGAAAAGGGGGGGTGTGGGGACATCAAGTGTAGGGATGTGCGGGGCGCCCTTGTATGACCTTGTAAAGAGGCGCTTCGTAGGGAGCGTCAGTCTGGATTGCAGGATCGCAACGTGAGTATGTTTGAGATCAAGTCGCGGGATTGTGCGGAAATTCTTGGAGCTTGGGATAGAAATTACTTTTCTCTTCCTTTCGTTTTATTTTTTATTTTTCCCCTCTTCGCTTGTTTGACTTCTCGGTTTCCCTCTTGTTCTCCCTCCCTCCGCTCTGTTCAGCCTTCTCTCCTCTCTTTTCTCTTCCCTCCTTCCCTCTTCCTCCATCTTTGGGCTTCCCCTCTTCGTCACTTACCCTTCCTCCTGCCCCCTCCTCCTCCCCACCAGGACACGTGTCACCTTCTCAGTGGCTGGGGAGCACTTCTCAGCATCGGGACGAAAGCTGCTATCCGCGGGATTCACTGCAGTCATGCCGTGGCTGGCGGTGGGGGACGAGGGCCTCCCAGCCTTCGTGCAGGGGGAGAGCGTTGCGCTGAGTGCAGTGGAGCTCTATGAGGTGAGGTGCGGTGAGGTGCGGTAAGGGGCGGTGGATGTCCTATCAGGCTGTAAGAGGTGAGGTGTTACCAGTCAACCCAGGCGATCCCCTTTGCTGCTGCCCTGCACTGCCAGCGGTCATGCCGTGGCTGGCTGGCCGCAAGATCACTGCAGTCATGCCGTGGCTGGCCGTGGGAGATGATGATGAGTTCAGTTGAGCTCTATGGGGTGAGGGCAGGTGCCGCCTTTCATGGCTTGTTATGTGGGGGACGAGGGCCTTCCAGCCTTTGCACAGGGGGGGATCATTGCACTGAGCGCAGTAAAGCTGTGCGAGGTGAAAGGATGGGGGGGGGTGTTGTGATTCAGAACTTGTGAACGCATTGGTGAGGTTCTTATGAAGTTCTTGTTTTGAGTCAAATCAAAACTCGACTCACTACATGCATGAGTGACTCGATCAAACGTGGCAGGGAGTTTTTGAGAATTCTCAAAAACTCCGTGAAAGGAGGGGGGGGTTGTTGTGAACGCATTGGTGAGGTTCTTATGAAAGATCTTAAGAGTGACTCAATCAAACGCATTAATGAGGTACCGTTCCCCCCTGTACGCATTCATGTGCGGAGCTGAGCTTCAAATATGAATCATCCGGGCTGCGCCTCGCTGCCTCCCCCCCGTACTCTTGAGTCGCCTCAAAAGTCACTGCCCCCCCCCCCCCACCCACCCACCCACTCTCCCTCCCCCCCTCCCCCCACAAGACTATCTAACAGAGAGAGAGGTGATCGGGCTGTGAATTCAAGGCAGACCACCTTCCGTCCATCTGACACCCGCTCTGTGTGGCCTTGTACCACCCTCTATCTTCAGGGCCGCACGTCCCCCGTGTCAGAACTTGAGCTTAGAATCGATACTATAGTAGTGAGCTCAAAGCTCTTTAAGTACATCCGGAATGAGCAAGGTAGGGATGAGGAGGGAATCAGGAGGCAATCCTAGGGAATCAAGGGTAATCCCAAGGCAATCTCCAATTGGTGGGTTGGAGATTGCTTGGAGATTACATTTGGGTTTGGTTGGGATGTGGGTGTACACCCAACCAAACACAAAGTGCAAACTACACTAAACTAGGATATAGAAGTACAAGTACAAAATGTGAGATTGGGGCCTAACACCAACACCCCCCTGAGGCGTCAATCGAACTCATGGCGGAGAAGGAGGAGCGCAGAGCCCCATGGCGCCAAGGAGACGATGGTGGGGAACCTTCCTAAGGGGCTTGGTGAACAGGTCAGCCAGGTTGCAGTCAGATGCCACGTATTCCACCTTCAGCTGCTCTTGTTGCACAAGGTGACGAATGAAGAAGTGCCGAAGTTCAATATGCTTGGTGCGGGTGTGATACACAGGGTCTTGAGAGATGTGGATGGTACTCTGGTTGTCACACCAGAGAGTGGGGGCTGACTGAGGGAAGCCAAGCTCCTGGAGTAGGAAGGTGAGCCAACGGGCCTCCTGAGCAGCCATGGTGCCTGCGTAGAGCTCCGCCTCACAGGAGGAGAGGGAGACTGCAGACGACCTGGTGGAGCGCCAACTGACAGTTCCGCTCCCGAGGGTGAAGCAGTACCCCTGAGAGGAGCGTCGGTCGGTCTGGTCATCAGCCCAGGAGGAGTCTGTGTAACCTTCCAGGCGAGGAGGGGAGAGCCCACCGAGTGTGAGAACGTGGGACTTTGTGCCCTTAAGATAGCGCAGCACCCGCTTTGCTGCCTTCCAATGAAGATTAGTGAAGCGACCCGGGGCCACGTAACGAGAGAGAACACTGACTGGGTAGGCCAAGTCCGGTCGGGTGCACATCATGGCGTACATGAGGGACCCAACAAGTTCCGGGTATGGCTCAGAGCAGGCCTCTGGTGTGGGTACAGCAGGAGCTGTAAGGAGGTGTTGCAGCGGCAACGGGGTGGCAACAGGTGTGCACAGCTCCATCTCAAACCGCTTGAGCACATTGTCGATGTAGAACTCCTGGGAGAGTGAGATGGTGCGAGCCTTGCGATCACGAGTGATCTCCATTCCCAGGTAGTGCTTGAGGTCACCGAGGTCTTTCATGTGGAGGGCCTTGCTCAGGGCTGCCTGGACTGAGGTCATTTGGGCCGAGTCCTTGGCAACGAGGATAAAATCATCCACGTAGACTAGGATGTAGAATGGCTCAGAATGACGACGGATGAAGAGAGTCGGGTCAGCAGTTGAGGGGTGGAAGTCCAGGGAGAGGAGGACTTCTTTCACCTTGTTGTGCCATTCTCGAAAGGCTTGTTTAAGGCCGTAGACGGGGCGATTCAGCTTCTAGACAGTGTTGGGAGGGAATTCTCCTGGGAAGCCTTCTGGTCTGTCCATGAACACTGTCTCCTTGAGACGTCCTTGTAGGAAGGCGGAGGAGGCATCCATGGATTTGATCTCAAAGTCTTCTCGAGCTGCAACATCCATGAGCGTTCGAATGGTGGGAGGTTTGGATGTGGGGGAGAAGATTAGGTCGAAGTCGCGGTACCGCTGCTGGGTGAAGCCCTTGGCTACGTAACGCGCTTTGAACACCGGTGCCTCGTCTGGGAGCTGTTTTACACGGAACAACCACTTGCCCCCGACGATGTTGACTCCTGGAGGTGGAGTCTCGTCGTCGAAGGAGTGGTTGCGAGTGAATGCTGCAATCTCCGCGTCCATGGCAGCACGCCATTCGGCAGCATGAGGGCCTGAGAGAGCCTCTTGGACGGTGAGAGGGATAGGGATGGTCGGGTTCTCCGCGAGGTTGAGGGAGGGTGAGCCAGTGATATCGGGGAAGATGTGTGAGAGCTGAGGAATGACTGCATGGAGATCACACAGCTCCTCATGCCTGTCTTCTAGAAGGGTAGAGGGCACATCCCCCCTAGCAGGAGGAGGCGGTGTGATCGTTGTGTATCGAAGAACCATTGCGAGTGGAAGAGCAGCGCGATGGGAGCGGGTGCCATGAGCCACCGGTGAGGAGGGCGGGGCAGGCGGTGTCGGAGAGGGTGACTTAGGAGGCTTGGGTGGGGGAATGGGCCGCCGGCGGTACGTGATCAGCTCGGGCGACTGTGGGAGAGCGGGTTCCTCTGTGGTGGGGGGAACTGGGGAAGGAGGTGGGGCCGGAGGGTGGGACCGCCGATGGTAGGTGATAGGTGCGCTTGGAGGGGGCGGTGCAGCGGGAAGTGAGGAAGGTGAGGGGGGGGGGCGGAGCAGCTGCCGAAGACACCGGTGAGGCCGGGTCAGAGACCTCAGAGGGAGATGGTGGGATGGCAGGAGAGGGAGGAGGTGAGGGGGCAGGAGCAGGCGGGAGGTCGGGAGGCGCGTCAAAGTCTGCCCACAGGAGGGAGGGTGGATCAGGGAGAGGGTCCCGTCCTGAAGGGGAGTAGAATGGGCGGGTCTCATCAAAGACAACGTCACGGCTCCTGACCAGCTGTTGAGTGGAGGGATTGAGGAAGAGGTAGTCAGGTGAGTCGGCGTTGTGCCCAAGGTAGATGCACGTTTGAGTCTTGGGACCGAGCTTGCCACCGTTCTGGCGTCGAGCCTGAGGGTTGAGGAGGACATAGGCGGTGCATCCCCAAACGCGAAGAGAGCGAGCAGTGGGCGTTTTCCCGAGCCAGAGTGTGGTTGGAGTAGTGTCGGGAAGGTGCGGATGGGGGTAAAGGTTGTAGAGGAGGGCGGCGTGGTAGAGAGCGTATCCCCAGAGAGAGTGTGGAGCGTTTGAGTGGCTGAGGAGGCACCGAGTGATCTGCACTAGGGTGTGGTTGCGGCTCTCAGCTATGCCGTTCTGTTGAGGGCTGTCGGGGAGGGTGAAGTTTTGCTGGATGCCTTCGGAGGAGCAGAAGGCTTTGAGCTTGTCGTTGCAAAATTCACCCCCCCCATCCGAGTGAAGGCGCTTGACCTTGCGGTCAAAGGTGGTCTGTGCCTGCTTGACCCACGCCATGATGACCTCTGGAGCCTCAGCCTTAGTGTGGAGGAGGTGAACAGAGACGTATCGTGAGTGGTCATCCACGATAACTAGGAAGTAGCGATATCCACCTCGTGCAAGAACAGGGGCAGGGCCCCAGACGTCCATGTGCACTAGGTCCAGTGGTGCCGCTGCGATTGTGGGTGAGGCAGTGTGGGGCTGTTGGCGCAGTTTGCTCTTGGTGCAATCAAGGCACGTGGGAGCGGGTGAGTCAGGTGGTGGAGGAAGTGTGGCTGGCAGGCCGAGAAGAAGTTTCTTGGAGGCCATGTCAGCAAGCGTGCGGAAGTTTGGGTGCCCTAACCGATGATGATAGAGGATGGTCAGGTTGGAGAGGCTGCGACATGTGCATGGTGTGATGGGAGCCTGTGCTTGGGTGGTTGAAACCTGTGGGAGAGGAACGCGTAGCGTGTAGAGGCCGGTGCTATTGAGGGTGAAGCGGGCCAAGGCCTTGTTGGTGAGTGGGTCAATGATGTCGCAGTGGTCCTCATTCTCCGAGAAGATGGTGCGTAGCCCTGCTTTGTGAATTTCTATTTGAGCCACTAGATTGTGGCGTAGTGAAGGCACGCACATGCCAGTGACGGTGCCGGAAGGGAAGGCTGGGCATGGGACTGTGGAGGTGCCCTTGGCTAGGGTGGTGAAGCTGGAGTCAGCTCCCGAGAGAGGGATAGGTGCTGGATAAGGTTTGAAGGAGAGTCTCTCCTTGAGCACAGTGTGAGTGGCCCCGCTGTCGAGTGTGAACTCTATGTACCGTGGTGCCTGTGATGAGTCGATTTACTGGGAAGTGGCTTCATTAATCATGGCAGTGCCAGGAAACAACAGGTTGATACGCACATCAACAGGAGCACTATCACTAGCACTAGCCGAAGAGGGGTCCTGGACCTCAACGAGATTGGCCTTACGAGCGCGCATCCAGTTTGGCGGCTTCTTGTCAACCCCGTGGATGGCATACCACTCGTCGTCTTTCTTCTTGAAGCACGTGGCAAGGGGGTGGTTAGTGCCACCACACACTTGTCCCTTGCGGTTGCCATACTTGACGACGTAGGTGCACGGAGGAAAGCGGTTGCGCTGGAAAGGCGCCGAGGCAAGGGCCGCTGCAACACTTGCTGGGGGCATGGGAGCACGGATGGCGTATGCCTTGGCCTGAGCCGTGGAGTCTTTCTCGGCAGAGAGGAGTGCGGTGGAGACCTTAGCAAAGGTGAGGTCTTCCGCTGAGAGCGTGAGGAGCATCTTCCTCGTGACTTCATATGCCGAGGAGAGACCAACAAGAAGGGCGGCTGCAGGGGCTTGTTCGGGGAAGACTATACCCAGCTCCTTGAGTTCACCATGAATGGTCTGCACCTTGGCGATGTAATCAGCCATTCCTGAGCAGTCCTCAAGACGGACTTGAAACATGCTGGGGATGAGAATCGCCACTCCGACCGCCGTCTTGTTCATGAACCAATCCTGGAGATACTTCCAGATGGCGTTGGAGGTAGGGTAGTTGTGGAACGTGTTGATAAGTTCGGGAGGGGTGGAGGCAATGAAGACGCTGATGATGGCAGCATCGGCCTTCTCCCACTTCCGGTACTTCTCAACAGCTTCTTCGTACGCCATCACGTCAGCATCATTTGAAGATTCGGTCGGTTCACGGGGAAGAGTGGGCTGTTTCCCCTTGCCACGGTTGAGGAGGACGTCCTTGAGGTCAAGGCCCTGCACGTCACGGCTCAGGAGGTGCTTGTCAACTCCGTAGCTCCACGCCTTGAAGTTGGAGCTAGAGCCATCGGCTTCAAGGCGGAGCGGGGTGATGGGGTTCGCCATGGTGGAAGACGAGAAAGCCATGGTGGAGACCCCTTAACTTCTCGCGCGGAGCGCCGCTCTTAAGTCACCGATAGGAACTTGAGGTTTGGGGTTTCCAAAGGAGATTTTGAAGAACCGGAGGTTTAAGGTTTACGAAAGAGAATATTGAGGTTTAGGGTTTCTGAAGGAGAATTTGACTGAGACGCCAATTTAGTGTCAACTACCTACTAATCCTATTCCCACACACCCCCTCACACACCACCTTCAGCTTCGCGGCTACGCTGCTGCTCGGCTTCGCGGCTACACGGCTGCTCGGCTTCGCGGCTACGCTGCTGCTTGGCTGCGTTGCTGCACCTATTCAGCTGCGGGAAAGAGGGGGGATGGGGGTAGGAGTGCAGATGCGGGGCGACGGGCGGCAGCCCGAAGATGACACTGCGGGGCGACGGGCGGCGGCCCGACGAGAAGCTGCAGGGCGACGGGCGGCAGCCCGAAGAGAAGCTGCAGGGCGACGAGCGGCGGCCCGACGAGAAGCTGCAGGGCGACGGGCGGCGGCCCGACGAGGAGAAGAAGTAACGAGAGTGACGAATTGATGAAAACGAGTGTTAGGTTAGAGCGCCGACGATGCGCTTACCAGAGAAGTTTCCGTCGATGGTGACGGGAAGATGTGGCGGGAGAAATTCCGCCGATGAATGTCGCGAATCAACGGCGACGAGATTGGCGATGGCTTCCCCGAGGTTTGCGGGACAAGTATCCGCAGAGATGAGAGGATCACGATCCGCGTATGCGGTTGAGCTGCTCTGATACCATGTCAGAACTTGAGCTTAGAATCGATACTATAGTAGTGAGCTCAAAGCTCTTTAAGTACATCCGGAATGAGCAAGGTAGGGATGAGGAGGGAATTAGGAGGCAATCCTAGGGAATCAAGGGTAATCCCAAGGCAATCTCCAATTGGTGGGTTGGAGATTGCTTGGAGATTACATTTGGGTTTGGTTGGGATGTGGGTGTACACCCAACCAAACACAAAGTGCAAACTACACTAAACTAGGATATAGAAGTACAAGTACAAAATGTGAGATTGGGGCCTAACACCAACACCCCCGGGACTATCTGACTGAGCATGAGCTGATTGGGCTGATGGAGCGGCATGGCACTGTGACAGTGTAACTGGCCTCTCTACCACTCTAAACCCCTCTGTGTGCCCCTGCCCGTTTCACCTACTCCACCGATCTGAACCCCTCACAATTCCTCAGGGCCGTACCTCTCCCCCGGACTACCTGACAGAGATCAAGCTGATCGGGCTGATGGAACGACACGGCATCGGCACAGACCCGTTCTGCCTTTTCACCACCACCTCCACTCCACCGCTATGAACCCTTCTTACTCCCTATAAACAGGGCCGCACATCCCCCCCTGACTATCTAACCGAAAGTGAGCTGATTGGGCTGATGGAGCGACACGGCATCGGCACAGATGCTTCCATCCCCGTGCACATCAACAACATCTGTGAACGGAACTATGCTCAGGTAGGGAGGGGTTTGGGGGCGGGACAAGGGGGTATTGCGGGGTGTTCATATTCAAATCCAGACACACGTTGCACGGCATCGGCACGGATGCGTCCATCCCTGTGCACATCAACAACATCTGTGAACGGAACTATGCTCAGGTACGATAGGAGATTGGAGAGGTGGGGAGGGCGTGGGGGACACTGGGGTGTGTCTTTAGTCGAATCAACACCCCCTTCGGCACTGATGCGTCCATCCCCGTGCACATCATCGACATCTGTGAACGGAACTATGCTCAGGTAGGGAGGGGTTGGGGGGAGCGGGGAGGAGGGGCGAGGGGACGAGATGGGGGGAGAGGGTGGGAGAGGTTGGGAGAGGGGCGGTTGGGATAGTAGCAATGGCACGGAAGCGTCCATTTCCGTGCACAGGCATAGCATAGTTGTTGGTATCACCAACATCTGCGAGCGCAAGTGGAGAAGGTGTGGTTGGGGGTGGCGCTCGTGCAGCTGCTGAGGTCCAAGAAGCGCCACGAGAACCAGATTGCTCGCTTCACCACCAAGGTCTGTCGTGAAAGCACCTCTCCCAGCCCCCACATCTCATTCCCACCTTGGGGGGAGTGAGAGGTGCTTCCACGACAGACCTTGGTGGTGAGGCGGACAATCTGGTTCTTCTGGCGCTTCTTGGTTGGACCCCAGCAGCTGCACGAGCGCCACCCCCAACCACACCTTCTCCACTTGTGTCCACCAGCAATCGGATTGTGCCCGCCACCCTTTATCCCAAATCCCACCCACTCCATTCTCTCCGCTCTCCCTCCTTTCCACCAGGTAGCGCCTGCCTTGGCCGTAAGACTGTGCTGTGCCCACCACCCTGGGTGGGTACCACGCTCGAGCACTGGTTTGTGCCTACTTTCGGGATCACCCATTTCCACCAGGTAGCACCGGGCTGCAAGGTTGTGCCCACTGCCCCCGGCACTGCGCTCGTGTGCGGATACCAGCACTGCCCAATGCTCCTTCCTTTTCACTCACGTCTTTTTTTCTCTCCCCCTCTCCCTCCCCCCACTATCTCCTTTACCAGGTAACATTGGGTCGTAAGATCATACCCACCACCCTCGGCACCAGCACGCTCGTGCGCTGGTACCAGCACCACCGCCACCTCTTTCTGCCCCGGCATTTTTTAGACGTCTCAAAAATAACCTCTCTTCAAGATCGTACCCACCACCCTCGGCACCACCGCACTCGTGCGCGGGTATCAGCACCACCGCCACCTCTTTCTGCCCCGGCCACCACCATTCTCTCTATCCACTCTCTTTTCCCCTCTGTCACCCATCTCCACCAGGTAGCACCCGGTCGTAAGATTGTTCCAACCACCCTCGGCACCACGCTTGTGCGCGGGTACCAGCAGATCGATCCGGACCTTTGCTTGCCGGACATCCGACGGTTCATAGAGCAGCAGATCACGCTGATCGCGCAGGGCAAGGCGGACCATGGCAGGGTGGTGACTCTCGTGCTGCAGCAGTTCTTTGAGAAGTTCAAATACTTTGTCAGCCAGGTGGGTGTGATTGTTGGTTGTTCAGTTGTGCATCCTGTGGATGAAGGAAGATGGGACGTGTCAACTCAAAAGGCAAGGAGGACCATGGCAGGGTGGTGACGCTTGTGCTGCAGCAGTTCCTTCAGAAATTCAAATGCTTTGTCAGCCAGGTGCGCATACGATGAGTCAGATGGGTGTGTGTGATGGTCGTTCACTAGTGTACGGTACAATTACAAGGGTGCACCACGGCAGGGTGGTGACGCTCGTGCTGCAGCAGTTTTTTTAGAATTTAAAGGCCACACCCCGAATTACACAACGAAATCAACGAAAAAATTGTAGGGTCGGAAAACCCCAGAAGGAGGTTCGGTGGGAAAATCGAGAACCAATCACGTCAAAAACCCACTCAAAACTTTCGACCAATCATGTGAAAGTGGTGACAGTTTTGGGGGCGACTCACTCGGTAATTCTGGATGTGTCCTTTAAGCTCTTTGTCAGCCAGGTGTGTGGGTGAGGCGATGGTTGTTCAGGTGAGTTACGAGCATCATGTGAGTGGCATCTTTTGACGTGTCAACTCAAAAGGCACGGTGGGCCATGGTAGGGTGGTGACCCTCTCAGGTAAGTGCTTAGTCAGTCACGTGAGTGCTCAGTCAGTCAGATAAGTGCTCAGTCAGTCAGGTAAGTTCTCAGTCAGTCAGGTAAGTGCTCAGTCAGTCAGGTAAGTTCTCAGTCAGTCAGGTAAGTGCTCAGTCAGTCAGGTAAGTTCTCAGTCAGTCAGGAAAGTGCTCAGTCAGTCAGGTAAGTTCTCAGTCAGTCAGGTAAGTGCTCAGTCAGTCAGGTAAGTTCTCAGTCAGTCAGGAAAGTGCTCAGTCAGTCAGGTAAGTTCTCAGTCAGTCAGGTAAGTTCTCAGTCAGTCAGGTAAGTTCTCAGTCAGTCAGGTAAGTTCACAGTCAGTCTGCTCAGTCAGGTAAGTTCTCAGTCAGTCAGGTAAGTTCTCAGTCAGTCAGATAAGTTCTCAGAGAGTCAGGTAAGTGCTCAGTGAGTCAGGTGGGTGTTGTATCACCCAGGGCCGAGGGGTCAGGTGAGTAGGGTGCACGTGGACTGCAGCAGGGTGGTGACTCTCGTGCTGCAGCAGTTCTCAGAAAAGTTGAAGTACTTGGTCAGAAAGGTGATTGCTCAGTCAGTCAGTGAGTCAGAAAGGTGGGTACTCTGAGGCACGCTTCTCCCTGCTAGCTGCCTCTGGCAAGCCCACGGGTCGATGCAGCACGTGCCCTTGTTACTTACTTCAAAAACACCTTAATCGCCCCTTAGCTGTTTCCTTTCTTCCCTCCTCCAACAAGACTGGCCGCATGGATTCCCTCTTTGAAGCACAATTCTTCTCCCCTCTGGCTGCCTCTGGCAAGCCCATGGTTTCGTCTGGTGCAGCAAGTGTTGAATGAGTCCACACCACACAACCCAACATCATGATTCTTTTCCAATGCCACCTCTTCGCCTACACTATTCCAGATCGCTCGCATGGACTCACTCTTTGAGGCGCACTTCTCCCCGCTCGCCGCCTCTGGCAAGCCCATGGGTGGCTGCGGCAAGAGCTGTTGGATTCTACGTCTAAACCATCTCAATTCACCCTTTGCTCCCTCTTTTTTCCCTCTTCTCTCCCAGCTTGCTCGAATGGATTCGCTGTTTGAGGCGCACTTCTCCTCACCACAATTCCCTCTGTGCTGTCCCTGTTCTTCCCTCTCTCCTCCAGATCGCTCGCATGGACTCTCTCTTTGAAGCCCATTTCTCCCCTCTCGCTGCCTCGGGCAAGCCCATGGGTCGCTGCGGCAAGTGCGGGCGGTTCATGCGCTTCGTGTCGCTGAAACCAACACGGCTGTTCTGCCCCACGTGTGAAGACATCTTCAACCTGCCTCAGAATGGCGCCATCAAGGTTAGTTACGTAATTGGCAGGGAGAGCGTGGCAGAAATTTCAGGGTTAGCCGCAGGGGCTGCTTTGTGCCGTTGAAGCCCATACGGCTGTTTTGCCCCACGTGTGAAGACATTTCCAATCTCCCTCAGAACGGTGCTATCAAGGTGAGCTCTGGATAGACTCGAAATGTGTCATGTCATCTGACCATCTAACAAACTGACTAGAGTTGGCTCAGACTTAACGTTCTGCCCTACATGTGAAGACATCTTCAATCTCCCTCAGAACGGCGTATCAAATATTCAAATCCCTGCTTTTTTCTTCTCTTTTCTTTTCTCCACAGCTCTACAAGGAGCTCACCTGCCCGCTCGACAACTATGAGCTGGTTCTTTACTCTCTGCCCGGACCAGAAGGGAAAACGTTCCCTCTCTGCCCGTACTGCTACAACCATCCTCCCTTTGAAGACCTGGGAAAGCCAATCACTCCCGCTGCCAGCACCACTGCCTCCTCCTCCAAACCTGCTGCCGTGTCTTCTACCGGACCTACCTCCCAAGCCTCCTCCAGGACAGGCTCGTCAGTCTTCTCTGGCATGGTCTGCACAAGTTGCCGCCATGTGTCGTGCCGTCATTCGCTGGTGAGCATGGGCGTGTGTCCCTGCCCTGAGTGCGAAGGAACTCTGGTCCTGGACCCTGTAAGTGCTCCTAGGTGGAGGCTAGATTGCAACCGCTGCAGCTGCGTTGTTTTCATAAAAGCCAATGTTCACAGGATGGCAGTGGTACCCATGTTCCCATTCGGTTCTTCCGGCACTTTGCTAAAAGCGCAGCAGCAGCAGCAGGGGAAGCAGGGGCAGGAGGGTGAGGAGGGAGGTTGGTGCCCTGAATGTGGATCTGCCCGGATAATTGAAGTGAATTTCCACAAGGATGAATCGCCTTTACCAGGTGGTGCTACAGTGCATCGCGGGTGTATGTTGTGCGACGAGTTGCTACTGTCATTGTTGGAGATGAAGCATGGCCGAGTGTTTTACGGGCGGCGAGGGAGGGGGCGTGGGAGGGGAAGGGGAAGAGCTGGGCGAGGGAGAGGGCGGGGAAGGGGACGAGGCAAAGACGAGGATGTCCGTCTGAGCTTTAGGTATTTTTAGGAGCTATCTGCTTCACACCAAATACTTGTTTTTGCAGAAATCATGTAGCTTGCTACATCCACCAAGATTATTCCAAATGAATTTTCTATAGAACTGTTGAGTGAAAAATAGAAATGTACAAAATGTATGGATTTAATCACCCCTACTATTTGGCAACTCCTACAGCTTCAGCTTGTTAAAATCACCTTCAATCGTGGCAGCTGGTCGAAGCCTCCTGGCAGAGCCAGGGGCGGGCACCGACGGATCACAAGCCTTTCAAGTGTTGACAACTGCCCCAGCGAGTCGGGGAGGCGACGGAGAGATATCAACCAATCCAACTCTAGCTCGCGCAACTGAGGTAGCTGCCCCATATTCGCGGGCAGCTCAGCCAGGCGAAATAGGTCTCGCAATGTCAGGCGGCGAAGGGCGGGAAGGTCAGCCAAAGAAAGAGGTAACCAGCAGAGGGTTGTACTACCATCTAGCTCTAGCTCTCTAAGACTGGGCAAAGCCTGGACAATGTTAGGAGGGAGCGACGCGAGATTTAGGCTACGTGCAATTGTCAGATGCGTAAGCGATGGTAGCTGAAAGGGCTGAGGCAGGCTGAACGCGCTAGTTCCGTGCAGAAAGCGGAGCTGTTCCAAACGAGTACAACCCTTAGCGAGCGTCGCAAATCCCGCCTCGCTGACGTCCCCGTGCGACATCCCGTGAATCGTCAAGTGAGTCAGACGATGACAGTGCGTCGCGAGGCTCGCGAGAAAAGCGTCGTCCACTTGTCGCAGGCTCCGCGCTTCCAAATGCAGCGAGCTGAGCGACGGATAGACGGAATCGGAGATCTGAACGGGTAGAGAGCGTGAGTCGAGTCGCCGTCCGGCGCGGATCCGAATTGCGGAGCGCGATTGGCGTGCAAGGCGGTACCAGGAGGAGCAGACGAGCGCGTGGTTAAATGGATGGCTGAACGTCGCGTAGCTTAAAAGAGGGGATGAACAATTACGAATAGCACCTTCGGAATTACTGGAGGAGGAACTCACCACTGTAGATTGCGCAGATTCCGTTACAGAGGGGAGGAGTGGGGAGGTAAGGTTGCGAACGAGAGCTGGGAGAGAGGGGAGATGAGCAGGGTCGGCCTGGGAGAGAGAGGAGGAAGAAGCGGAGGAGAGGGAGGGGGAAGCGAGGGAGGTGTCGTCATGTGGTTCGTCCGCCTCGTGAGTCTCAAGCAGGTCGAAGATTCGAAGGAGCAGCTCGGGAGAAAGAGAGTAAATTGGGCAGAGCAAGCGGGTCGCGGCAGGAAGTGGTGGCTTTAGCTTTCGTGGATTTGAGATTTCGACGATGGAATTTTCTTCTGGCAAAGCGAAGTGGACACGAGCCGTCGGATCCTTGGCCATCGCCATGGTCTGACTACTGTGGCTTGCTGAGAGTCGACGCGCTTCCCTCACTAGACGAGCAGGTTCGAAAGAAAAGGCCTCTCACTGTCCCCCGTTCTACCTGCTCTGCTTTGCACTCTTGCCTGATAACTACTAGCTCCTCAATAGCGGCTCATGAAAAAGCCGCAGCTGGGTGGAATAATCAATCGCCTGTCACGCTCTCCGCAAAGCATTCCAATTAAGCAAATTATTTTATTTCAAACGGTAATGGTTAAGGAGGCCACCAGAAGAGACGATACAATCCTCTTCCGCCGTCGCCAATGCCTGGTTGCTCCCTTCCCGCGCTTTCGGCCGTGAGGGTTCGCGGTGTTCGTTCGGACACGAGACCCTTGCGGGGCGGTGTCGCGCGGATGGGTTGCGTTCGAGTCATTGGCGGCGGAACAACTCGGTCGCAATTCATTTCGGAAAATCTTCACGAGCTAATCTCGATGTTTGTAAAGCATCAAATAGTAAATATGTTTGTTAAGTCACATAGACACCAAATCTCTTGACTATCGCAGTTCCATGGCACCAGGAGGATGAGCTGATCGTATTCTGCCGCCAAGCCGCGGAGTCCGGTTTGAGCCTGCCACGTGGGGCCTTTCCCGCCACGCGCGGCTGTCATGCGGAGACAACAACACTCGCCGCGCGGGCGATAGGCTAAACGCCTTACTAGAACGGCGAACTAAGAGCCGTTGGATCTCCGCTCGGAACTCGTTGGTCAACAATAGCTAGTCCCATCACCACCGTCGATACTGCCTTGAATTGAAGTTTTGTTGAGACGACGATAGCAGTTCCGAATAACGGAGGGAAAGGGAAGGGAAGGGTGGGACCAGCCAGCAGATGGCTTACGTGGCGAGGTGTGGCAGGCGGACGCCTGGCAGGGTGCATGTGACCCATTGGATTAGACGAGCTGATATTCAGATTTCGCAGGACTCAATTGGAGTGTCTTCGTCACATGGTTAAAACTGTATCGAGAAACCAAACGTTACAACCCAATATACCACAAATTTGATAACATATGTGAAAGCCTCATACACAAAAAAAGCCTCGTGCTCATACCGTAGCTGGAACTCCTTGAATTCCCTCTTGTTCACTTCAGAGCTCCATCCCTAGACAGCAGACATACGAGCGACCTTGTCCCTCAAATAATACAACTTCGCCCTCCTGACCTTACGGGTTCCTATCACAGTGATCTCCTTGATGTTGGGAGAGTACCTGCAGGTGAAGAAGATAGCAGAAGGAAGGCAAACACCCAAGGCACCATTTGAGGCCCCGCACCACGCCTACCACCAGCAAGCGACGATGGTGCTTGAGCGGATGTTTATGCGGCAGCCGACACAAACAACGAACAGCGGTGTGAGCACAGAAAAAAAACATTGCAGAAGCATCTAACACTCTTACACTTGGTAGCCCACAATGAGAAGACCATTTCAAGAAGCCCCACGCCTGCCAGGCCAGCGTGCGGCGAATGCAGAATGTGAAGCTGGTGCCGGGACACATAGCATCTAGCACTAGCAGTGCTTCAAGTGGCACGAGGCACTGACGCTCAGACAGAAAGAGACTCACAGGGGGCAGTCCGTTTCAACACCCCATGCCTGCCAGCATGGAGCAGATGAGAAATGTGGGGCAGAAGCCGGCACACACAGCATCTAGCACTAGCAATGCTTCAAGTGGCACGAGGCACTGACGCTCAGACAGATAGAGACTCACAGGGGGGAGTCCGTTTCAACACCCCATGCCTGCCAGCATGGAGCAGATGAGAAATGTGGGGCAGAAGCTGGCACACACAGCATCTAGCACTAGCAATGCTTCAAGTGGCACGAGGCACTGACGCTCAGACAGAAAGAGACTCACAGGGGGGAGTCCGTTTCAACACCCCATGCCTGCCAGCATGGAGCAGATGAGAAATGTGGGGCAGAAGCTGGCACACACAGCATCTAGCACTAGCAATGCTTCAAGTGGCACGAGGCACTGACGCTCAGACAGAAAGAGACTCACAGGGGGGAGTCCGTTTCAACACCCCATGCCTGCCAGCATGGAGCAGATGAGAAATGTGGGGCAGAAGCCGGCACACACAGCATCTAGCACTAGCAATGCTTCAAGTGGCACGAGGCACGAACACAAAATAGTGCGACGCTCACAGAGGGAAGGGCATCTCGACACCCACGCCTGCCAGCACTCAGACAAGCACAGTAAAACACGCACCATGCTTTTGAGGCGCCTCTATAGCACCCACAGAGGGAAGGACATCTTGACGCCCACACCTGCCAGCACGCGGCCGATTCAGAATACCCTTATACCACCTCAATCAGTATATAACGGCGTTTCGCACGACATACAGCACTGATAGTGTCGGACACTCACAGAGGGAAGGACATTTCGACGCCCACGCCTGCCGGCACACGGCAGATGCAGAATACCCTTATACCACCTAAAACAGTATATAACGGCGTTTCACATGACACACGGCACTGATAGTCTCAGAAACTCACAGAGGGAAGGACATTTCGACGCCCACGCCCGCCAGCATGCGGCGAATGCGGAACGTGGAGCCGATGCCGGCGTTCCTGCGAGCAATGACAATGCCTTTGACAATCGATGTGCGCCTCTTGTTCTCAGGGACCTCCTGAGAAAGGGGGATTGACGGGGAAGGGGGAAAAGGGGAAGTGAGGTGAGGAGAAGGAATGTGGAGCCGATGCCGTCATTCCTGCGGGCGATGACGATGCCCTTCACTATTGACGTGCACCACTTGTTCTCAGGCACCTCCTGGGAGAGAGGAGGAGAGGGGGGAAAGGAGGATGGGGGCGGGTGTGAGGATGAAGGAGCAATGTGGTGCTGAAGCCAGCAGACATCAGTACTAGCACACAAACCCGTTCAAGAGCCTCAGAAGTACTAGCACACAAACACTTCACTGTCAGTGCAAACATCTCTCCCAGTTTTCCTGCTTTACAAGCACAAACCCTCATATAGAAGCACGTACAATCATCATGGAGAGAACACATCCAGCTTCAAGTCTGGCATGTCATGCTGCTGCTGGCTTGTGCACCAGCCAGGCTCAAGCACAACCCTTCACTACAAGCATGTACAATCTTTTGAGACGTCTCAACCAGACAGTTTCCTACTTCCCTGCTTTACAAGCACAACCCTCAGACACAAGCATGTACAATCTTTTGAGACGTCTCAAAAGCACGTACAATCTTCATGGAGAGCACGTCCCCCGGCTTGAAGTCTGGCATGTTGCGCTGCTCTCGCAGCAAGCCCGTGGCCTCTGCATCCAGGATCTGAAAGGGGGGAGGGAGAGGGGGAGGAGGGGAGAGCGGGGTGGGGGAAAACAGAAAATAAGAAGGAACGCGAACAACAATAAAACAAGCGATCGCCCCCTGGCTGAAGTCTGGCATGTAACATGTTGCGCTGCTCTCGCAGCGAGCCCGTGGCCTCTGCATCCAGGATCTGAGGGGAAAGGGAAGAGTTGTGGGAGTGGGGGGGAGGGGGGAGCGGAGAGAGACTGGGGGAGAGGGGGTGGTACTCCTGTCGCAGCGAGCCCGTGGCCTCTGCATCCAGGATCTGCAGGGGAAAAGGGTCGGTCGGGAGGAAGGGAGGGGGTGCACGTGCAATCACCGAACAAGCGATCGTCTTCCCGGCTTGAAGTCTGGCATGTTGCGTTCCTGGGGCAAGGAACCAGGGACCTCTCATAGCAGGGAGTGAGAAGAGGTGGGTGGAGAAAAGGGAGGGGGGGGGGGGTGGGGGGGAAGAGAGATTGGGGGGTGAGGAGATTGGTACTCCTGGCGCAGTGAACTCGTGGCCTCTGCATCCAGAATCTGAGGGGGAAAGAGGCACGGGGGGGTTGGGGGAACGGGCGGGGGGATATTTTGCGCTCCTGGCGTAGCAAACACATGGCCTCTGCATCCAGAATCTGAGGGGAAAGGGGGGGGGGGGGGGGGAGGGAGGGGGGGGGGGAAGAGTGGGGGGAGGGGGAACGGAGAACAGGTTGGAGGAATACGGAAAATGAAGGGAGTATGTATGGTTGGTTATCACACAAATGATCGGCTGGCATGTTGTGCTCCTGGCGCAGGGAACCCGCCGCGGATGCATCTAGGATCTGAGGGGGGAGCGGGGGAAAGAGATGGCTGGGAAAGGAAGTGGGGGCGGTTTGGGAGGGGGGGAGGAGATTGGAACTTGATGCAGCAAACCAGTCACCTCTGCATCCATGATCTGAGGGGGAAGGGGAAGGCATGCAACAACGGGGAAAAAGGGGAAGGGGAGCATGGGGAAACAGTAACGCTGAGATTCTGGCACAGCGAATCTAGAGCCTCTGCATGCAGAATCTGAGAGGGGGAAGGAAGAGTTTGAAGTGGGAAGAAGGGTGGAAAGAGCTTGAAGAGGAAGGGGAGAAACTGTTGCGCTCCAGGCGCAGTGCAGTGCGGATCTGAGAGAAGAAGGGAACTGGAAGGGGGAAGGACTGGGGTTGGTAAAGAGAGAGAGGATCTGCGGGGGAAGGGGGACAATGTATGCTCGCTGGGTGCTATGCTGCATACTCACAGCTTGCTGAATCAATGCTGTGCTGGATGCTATGCCGCATAGCTCAATGACTCACATTCATGATGTGCTTTGCTTGCTTCGTCAGCGCTTTTGTCTTCACGCGGATCCTCCCATCTCCTACTCCCTGCTCTCCTGTTGCTGCATCTCCAACCCTCCCTGTTCCCAATGCTGCTTCTCCTGCTGCTCCTGCTGCAACTGCTGATGGCGATGAGAAAAATGATGCTGATCTTGCTGATGCTGACGTGGATGTTCCTGCGGGCGCGGCTGATGGCGATGAGGCTGACGTGGCTGCAGAAGCTGATGTCGATATGGCTGACGTGGCAAAGCCATGGCTAGAGACAAGTGAGGAGGTTGGGATGAGAGGGGAACAGCTTCTCGTGGCAACCATTCCCGCCTGGAGCAGCGATCGTGATGATGATGATGATGATGGTGACGATGATGGTGATGGTGATGGAGAGAGGGTGGAATATCTATTCCCCATGACAAGAGCAGGTTGATGAGACGATAGCACCTGGCAGGGGGGATACCGAAGAGGATTGGGGAGCAGTGGGGGACGGGGAGAGGGTGGAGTGCTTATCGCCCATGACAGTGGTTGGTTGATGAGACGATAATGGCTGACAGGGTAATACGAAAGAGAATTGGGTAGCCATGGCCGACAGGGGGAAGGGTGGGTGTGGGGGACCAGGGGGGTCAGGTAGAGGCGGGATGGTCCCCGGAGTGGGGGTCTTGCGGGCGGGGCTTACAAGAATGACGAGAGTACCTCACAACGCCCGTACTTGATGCTTCTCGAAGCTACCTTACACTATTCGTTACGCAATGATTGTCATGACGCGGATCTTCCCTAAACTTTAACAATGTCTCCACAATCCCACTTTTGTCTCCACAATCCCACTTTTGTCTCCACAATCCCACTTTTGTCTCCAACGTCTCCAGTTGCTGCTCTTTCCCCAACCAACCTTCCTAGCTTCGAAACCTGTGACACTCCGGTTTTAACGCGATCCCACTAGACTGCTCTGGGTTCCTAGAATTCACAAAAACCAGCTCGTCACTTCTGAAACGACTACCTTACTTGCCACTGTAACACCAGCCGTCCAATAGACTGCTCTACGGATCTGGCTAGCACGACGTGGAGCATCCTGACAGGTCAACGGTGAAAGCACGACAGATTACCAGGTTGGAGACACGTGACAACAGGTGCGCTTGCCACTTAGAAAACTGCGACCCGAATCCGAAATTGAGGTTTCTGAATGCAACGGCGGACGGTGCGGCGGAAGACGCGGCGAGCGTCGCGGCTCTCGCCAGCTGCCGCTGTCGTGCTGCCACGTGGCGGAACATGACGTCGAGAGACGACTAACCGTAGGCTTTACTAAAAGGCCGCACTATGACGGGTCGCCTGTCCACGAGACCAACACATGCACGCGTAGGAGCAGGTTGCGTGCGATACGGCTACATTAAAACCCGGGGCATTACACTCGGTTGGCTTCGTAGTGTTATGACTGGTGTACGAGTGGCGAGGTAGACTACAACGGAACTTTACCAGGAGAGCAGCACTACTCCAAACCTGCACAATAGGTTCGAGTGACGCCCGAGCCAAACTACAGGAACCTGTTGGGAAGAAAGCAACGCAACGGTTGATGGGCACACTCGCTACTACCGACAAGGGCAGGAATTTACATGCTGGGGTTGATAGGCGTCGTTCTGTAGGCACCTGACAATTGGTGGAGGTAGGGAGAAGGGAAATGAGGAGGGTTCCGATGTCGCCTTTTCCCCCCCTGGGCAAACATGCACGAAGGGAAATTTCGCATCGTGGGGCGGAATTTTCACAAGGGAAATGACGAAGTGCGTGCTGAATTTCCCGCTCCCAAGAAAGGGATAATTCCAGACCGCTGTATAGTGAACCCAGGGTACTTCATACAGCAAGGGTAATTTATACAGAGAATCGAGCCCCAGATCGAAGAGGGCCTCCAAGGTGGTTGGGGTGTGTTTTTTTTAACTTGGGAGGTGCCACCATGGTTGGGTTAGACCGTATTTTTCTGTGAGGTTTTTTTGGGTGGGATGCTGGTGTTCCCACGCCCAGCTCCTCCCTCCCGTCACCATCGCACTTCCCCGTGAAAGGTGGTTGGCCGATGGCTGGGAGAAAGCAAACAAATTTGCAAGAGGAGGAAGGTGGTGAGGGGAAATAGGAACATTCCTCGTGGGGCATTTCCCTGATGGGAAATGACTGTTCTGCAGGCATTTCCTTTCGATTAGGTTCGCAAGGGAATTGACTGCCACGTCAGCATTTTCCGGTCTGACCGCCATTTCGAACCTAAAATTGCAGATGCAGACAGCTTCCTATTTTCCCTCCCCTTCCCCCTCAGTGATGCCTACGGAACAACGCCATTGTAAATCACGTATTTATGTAACAAATAATTATATATTTCTGTGCAAGCCAGCAGCAGATTTGGCATTTGTCTCTTAGTGTAAGGATTTTTTCGGATTCCTTATTGGGTCACACTTTACGCGTATAACCTCGACTTTCAGAAAACCAGGCTCGGTCCGCTGACCTCGCCTTCCGAGCCACTACCGCGTCGCTTTCGGGTTTCCCAACCCCGAACCTGCACCCAACCATCTCGCGACCCCGCGACCTCGGCCCAGCTAGCTTCGCTATATTAGTCCTAGGCCTCGTTGTGTTCTCAGACGTTGTAATCACTTCCGCATTATTGAGTTTCTGCGCACTCTTCCTTTCACAACCCATAACACCTCCTATCAGAGCCTAATTTCCTAGGTTACCCTCGCATTTCCGGGGTAGTTTGTAGAAGGGGAGCGATAGACTTGGTGGGATGTTAAGCGGTCGGCCCGTGGAATAGATCCGATTATTTCACTCCGACAACGATATCATTAACGCCTTCACCGAAGTCAGAAAAATCGCTAGCCACCCCGTGCCCGTTAGACGAAGCCTGCGACACGTGGACCAGGCGGAGTTCAACGAGCTCGTGCAACAGTTCCGGATGATGCAGGCCAACATGCAGACGATGTCTGCAGAAATGGCGCGTCTTCGGGAGGAAAACGCCGAACTACAGCAGGCGCGTGATGAAGTGCGCCAGGAGTCGCCTGTTGTGGACGACGCAAGTAGCAGCACTGCACCAGATGAGTGGGTCTGGAGCGAGCTGGAAGGCGAGATGGATGCGGACGATGACAAAGTTTTAAGGAAGAAAGAGGATTGAACTAGCAGAAATGGGGATACAAATAGCAAACCCTAGAAGGGTTGTACTCGCTATAGAGCACCCCACTACAGGCTAGAACATAAGAATAACATTCTGACAGACGAGGCGAGACAGGTGCAACAGCAACAGTCACCGCAACATTCTGACACACCCCCATAGCCAAAGTGGGGTGTAATCAGCAGAGCAGACAAAGCAGTACAAGCTCAGGGTGGATCACAATGTCACCACACATTCTGAGCACAAGTTCAAGAAGAAATAGTTTAGAGTGCACAATTATCAGCAAAGCTAGTGGTGGTCACAACGGGCGAGTGAGGAGGAGGAGGGAGAGTGAGAGGAGAGGAGATAGGAGGCGGCGGCTGAAGCTGCAGACACACGGGCAACAGGAGTGGCGAGCACAGTGGCTACCAGACTAAGCGCCCGGACTACAGGAGTAACAGGCCCCGCGGCTCAAGTAGCGGCAGACGGGCAACGGACCCACGGGCGGCTGGCGTAGAAGTCTAGCTCACTGGGCTACCGGGACAGCGTCCCGGACTACAGGTGCTGCGGACGACAAACTGGCAACCTCCGCTCAACCTCCCGCACACAGACCCACCCCCCTCATACACACCCACTGCTACACCGCTAGCTCCACTCCCACGCACCCCCCTTAAACCCTAAACCCCAGTCTCCCACACAACCACCCCCCTCAGCGACAGCTGCAGCAGTGGGAGACGAAGGAGGAGGAGGAGCAAAGGGAGGAAAGCACACAGGCCACCCCCATACCCGCCACCCCACAGCAAGCGGCCCCCTCAGGTCGCCTCGACAGACGACGGGAAAACGGGGGGGGGGGGGGGAGGCGGTGTGGTGAAAGGGGCCCACCACGGGCCTGGTTGGAGGGCGGGGCCGCGACAAGGAGCGGGGCCACGACGAGGGGCGGGGCCGCGACGGTCGGGGCGGGGCCGCTTCGAGGGGTGGGGCCGCGACGTAGGGCGGGGCCGCAACAGGTCGACGGCGGGGCCGCGACGTAGGGCGGGGCCGCTTTGAGGGGCGGGGTCGCGACGCAGGGCGGGGCCGCGACGTAGGGCGGGGCCGCGACGTAGGGCGGGGCCGCAAAGGTAGGGCGGGGCCGTGACGAGGGCGGGGCCCTGAAGTAGGGGCGGGGCCGCGAAGGGTCCGCGTCGCCCGTCGCGACGCCTCCAGGAGGCGAGGTGGCGACCGACGGGGCAGAAGCCCGCCGCGCGCCTCGGGGCGCACAGCGGGCAGAGAACCGCCGCGCGCCTCGGAGCGCACGGCGGGCAGAAAACCGCCGCGCGCCTCGGGGCGCACGACGGGAGGAAAAAGTAGCAGCGGAAGCGAGGTGGTAACCCACCCATAGGATCGATCCCAGGGGATCGACCTGCTCTGATAGCATGACAAAGTTTTAAGGAAGAAAGAGGATTGAACTAGCAGAAATGGGGATACAAATAGCAAACCCTAGAAGGGTTGTACTCGCTATAGAGCACCCCACTACAGGCTAGAACATAAGAATAACATTCTGACAGACGAGGCGAGACAGGTGCAACAGCAACAGTCACCGCAACAGTCGCGTGCAGCACCGACACATGCAGCAGCGACGACGACGGCGACGCCGGCAGCAATGCCAACGGCCCCGATGGCAACAACGGCTTTTGTTAAAATCAAGCCGACAAACCCGCCCCCGTTTAACCCAAGTGACAAGTTCGTCAATCTTTCTGCATGGTTGTTCGGCGTGGAGGTGTTTTTTAATGTTGCCATGATTTATGACGATGCCACCCGCATTAATTTCATAGTTTCACTGTTGCGAGGACTGTTAGAATCCCAACCACTAGACCACTGGGATAAAAGGGCTTGTTTAAGTAGCGGGTTAGTGCGCCCATAACCCCCAAGGCCAACATGCCTGTAACCCTTCCCTAAGTTCACAATTATGAGCAAAGCTAGAGGCTACCGCAGAGTGTCAGAATATTATCTTATGTTCTCTAGCCTGCAGTGGGGTACTCTATAGCAATTATAACCCCTTAGGGTTTCGTATATGTATCCCCTTGCTTGCTAGTACAAACCCTCTTTTCCCTAACTTCTTTCTTGCCTAGCTAGGTCGTTCCTAGCTATGGCTCCTTCCATTACGCTACTATCTTCACATGGTGATCAGAGCAGTAAGCTCCTGGCCTGTGTGCCTAACCACGAAACTTCCGTTGCAACTATTCCTCTCCCTTTCCGTCGTGCGTCCCGAGGCGCGCGGCGATTTTTCTACCCGCCGTACGCCCCAGGGCGCGCGGCGGCGCGCGGCGGGTTGCTGCCCCGTCACGCCATGCGCCGCCCCCGGGAGACACTGTGACGGGCGACGGGGACCTCCGCGTCGCCCCCCCGTCGCCCGACATGGCCTCTATGCGGCCCGTACAGGCAGCGCGCGGCCCGTATGGGCTGCGCCAGACCCACACGCTGCCCGTACGGGCTGCGCCAGGCTCGCGGGCGGCCCGTACGGGCTGTGCCAGGACGTCGCGCGGCCCGTACGGGAGGCGCCCGACCCGCGCGCGACTCGGGCCGCATGCGCGCGGCTCGGGCGTCCCTACCTGGCCCGTGGTGGGCCCCTTTCTCCACACCGCCTCCCCCCCCCCCTCCTTTTCCCGTCGTCTGTCGAGGCGACCTGAGGTGGCCCCTAGCTCCACTCCCCCTTCACCCCCCCGTAGTACCACTCTACCGGCTCCAACAAGTCCACCCCCCCTCAGCGGTAGCTGCAGTACAGGGAGACGAAGGAGGAGGAGGAGCAGGGAACGGCACACAGTAGGTTGTTAGAACATATATACAGCTTATACTATTGTGTAGGCTGTAGTGGGGTATCCCATAGGGGGTACAACCCAGTTAGGGTTTCCTACTTGTACCGATTTCATTTCATAGTCAATCATTCCTGTTCTCTCAATTTCACATGGTATAGAGCACCGTTTTTTTTTGGGCCCACCGAAGCGCGCCCCGAGGCGCGCTATTTTTTTTTCGCGACCCCTCGGGTCGCCCTTTCCCCTGCGGCCCCGCCGCCTCCACTGACGCGGCCCAGCCGCCATCTCTGACGGGGCCCCGCAGCCGGCTCTGACGCGGCCCCGTCCCTGACCTTGCCGCGGCCCCGCCGCCTGCTCTTCGCGG